TCTTCTCTCCCTCCTCCCTTCCTTCTCTCTCCCTTCTCCCTCCTCCTCTCTTCCTTCTCCCCCCCCTCTTCTCTCCCTCCTCCCTTCCTTCTCTCTCCCGTCTCCCTCCTCCTCTCTTCCTTCTACCCCTCTTCTCTCCCTCTTCCCTTCCTTCTCTCTCCGTCTCCTCTCTCCTCTCTTCCTTCTACCCCTCTCTCTCCCTCTTCTCTCCCTCTCTCGCATCCTCATCCTCTTTCCCTTATCCCTCCTTTCTCCCCTCCTCTCTCATCTTCACTCACTTTTTCTCCCTTCTCCCTCTCTCCTCTCTTCCTTCTACCCCCTCTTCTCTCCCTCTTCCCTTCCTTCTCTCTCCCGTCTCCCTCTCTCCTCTCTTCCTTCTACCCCCTCTTCTCTCCCTCTTCTCTCCCTCCTCTCGCATCCTCATCCTCTTTCCCTATCCCTCCTTTCTCCCCTCCTCTCTCATCTTCCTCACTTTTCTCCCTTCTCCCTCTCTCCTCTCTTCCTTCTACCCCCCTCTTCTCTCCCTCTTCCTTCCTTCTCTCTCCGTCTCCCTCTCTCCTCTCTTCCTTCTACCCTCTTCTCTCCCTCTTCTCTCCCTCCTCTCGCATCCTCATCCTCTTTCCTTATCCCTCCTTTCTCCCCTCCTCTCTCATCTTCCTCACTTTCTCCCTTCTCCCTCCTCCTCTCCCATCCTCTCTCACTCTTCTCTCCCTCCTCCTTCCTTCTCTCTCCCGTCTCCCTCCCTCCTCCCATCCTCTCTCACTCTCTCTCCCCAGTAAGTTACTCCCAAACTCCATCGAAATAAGTTTTTGGGGAAGACGTATCTAACTGAGCCGCACCAAAAGCCGCCTTGCTCACATCCGACACAGAGGTCATTATACCGCCCTACACCTGTCGCCCCACACCTGCCCTATACCTGACGCTAGTAATTACTTTCTTTCACGCTAACAAAAACTTTTTCTACTTTTATTATTATTATTATTATTATTATTATTATTATTATTATTATTATTATTATTATTATTATTATTATTATTATTATTATTATTATTATTATTATTATTATTATTTATTTATTAGTGTTTTTCTTGTCAGTATTACTTATATTAACACAGCTGCCAGTTGAGGGTTCCAGCCACCTATAGTTAAGTAGCGGTGAGTGTTGAGATGGATTAAATACAACGTAAAAATATGATATAGTAACCAAATATTATAATTACTACTATTAATACACTAATATTTAATAGAGTAAGAAGGAGTAAAAGGGAAGTTTAAATTAGTATGTTAATGTTAGACGCTGCTGTCCTCCTCAGGGTTACCAAGTATACGCAAAACAAAATACTGTAGACCCGTTTTTTCATCACACCTGGAAAGTTATATTCTTGTTCAGGCTTCATTTAGGTTAGGTTAGGTTAGGTTAGGTTAGGTTAGGTTAGGTTTGGTTAGGTTAGGTTTGGTTAGGTTAGTATTGGTAATTCTCTATCTCTTTTGTCTCTCTCTCTTTTGTACTTCTCATCTCTTCTTTCTCTCTCTCTCTCTCTCTCTCTCTCTCTCTCTCTCTCTCTCTCTCTCTCTCTCTCTCCTCTCTCTCTCTCTCTCTCTCTCTCTCTCTCTCTCTCTCTCTCTCTATGTATCTCTTTATCTCTGTCATTCTCTTCATACATTCGGTTCATTATTCAAAACTGTTCCTATTTTTTTTCCTTTTGTCTTATTATTCATTATGCATCTCGAATCATTATCCTCACTCATCCCTTTTCCATATTCCTGGATTAAATTACCGAGAAAAAAAAAAACGAAAATCAGGAACCACTTACCTGAGAACAGATCCATCCCCATACACCACCTTTGAGGCTCCAAACAGAATTATGTTTTTTTCAGAACCCAAGGAGGAAAAATTGGCCCAAATACACAGGTCTCTAATTTTGGGTTTAAATCCGAAAATTTGCATATAGATAGACACATCCCAGGCGAGAGACAGTTAATTTAAGCGAATATGGCAATTACCTGCACCGCCAAGATGGGGAGAGAGAAGAGGAAGAAAAAAAGATGATTTTATTTCTTCAGGGTGATTTACAGAACAGGGAAGATGGATGATGATGCTTGAGGAAGAACAAAGGGAGGGAGGGAGGGGGGGGGGGGGGAGAGGAGAGGAAGGAGGGAGACGGAGGAGGGAGAGGGAGGAGGGAGGGTAGGAGGTGTGAGTTATTGTATGAAGCTGAATGTAAAATAAATCTTGATGTTAACGGATAAATTATTCGCTTCTGTATTGTATATTGATGTGTTCTGTGGCGGCTAGATGCGTGTTGGATAGCGAGGGACATCGTGCAGCCAGAAGACAGACTGGAGACAGCTAACAGACAGCGAAGAAATACAGAACATAAGAGCATAAGAATGGAGGAAACTGCAGCGGGCCTATTGGTCCATACTGGGCAGTTCCATTTACACCCAACCCCTATCGCTCATGTAGCCATCCAACCTATGTTAATGATGATGTTTGGTATCTTGTTACTCTATTTCCAAACTAATGTTTACCTATCTCGCGCCTAAATCTAAATTTGTCTAATTTAAAACCATTGTTACGAGTTCGCTCCTGGTTGGATAGTTTGAGTACCTTTGTTCTATCACCCGTGTTTAGCCCTGACTTCCATTTATACACCTCGATCATATCGCCCCTCACTCTACGTCTCTCGAGGGAGTACAAATTAAGATGCTTTAACCTGTCTCTATACTCAAGGTTCCAAATTCCCAGGATTAGTCTTGTCATTCTCCTCTGATTCTTTCTAGGGATTCTATATCCATTCTGTAGTACGGTGAACAAATACACATTGTTTACTTGGCCAAGATTCCTACTTATCATTACTCCTAAATCTTTCTCACAGTCGGATTTCTCAATAACATCGTTGTTCATCTGGTATCTGGTTTCTCTGTTTACATCTCCAAGACTAAGTACCTAACATTTGTCCACATTAGATTTCATCTGCCATTTTTCAAACCATTCGATTTTTTTTAGATCTTCCTATGGTTTGCGGAGTCCTCGTCAAATTTAATTACAAGCCCTATTTTAGTGTCATCAGTATAATTTACTTATGTTGCTGTCTACACCCATTTAGTCATAGGGTAACGAGAAAATAGCCAAGAGACAAGAAAGATATGGCCAGAAAACAGCCAATATAACAAAAAAAAGCCTTTATAGCTAGAAAACAACCAGGAGACAACAAGGACATTCTTTTTTTACGAAATTAGCCCACAACAGGGACTGGGGGGCGGAAAAATAAGAACAGAAAGAAGTTAAACATAGAGAAGAAAAAGGTTATACTGTGTGAATCAATATAATGAATAAAACAGATCAAGAATAAGTACGGTTATATTTGTTGTGTTGCCAATAGTAAGAGAGACAATTGAGACCCTGCAACTGTGCGTAAATGAGGCAGAAAGTCAAATTAGCAGCCTGGGACTTGGTCACAATTTTCGTGATACCATATGGCGTCAGGGTCTATCATTAGTCAATACATTATGCTTCCAATAGGTACCAGGAGACATGTATAATACCTAATAGTCTCTTAACTTGTGGATTTAAATACTAGAGAAGAACTGGGAGAACATCGACCATGACTCATCAATAACCCTTCCAATATAAATCTTTGGTCGAATTTCGGTAACTTTAGTGATGTGAATATTTTTCTGTGTGTATGCCGTATTGAGGATGAAAAGGTATTGTAATTCACTCTCCTTAAACTACTAAACTACTCCAGGAAACCTAATGTTAATGTCAATGTTTATATACGATGTTTGTTTTGTTTATATACGATGTTTGTTTTTATATTCTAATAATTATCTAAATATTGTAAAATTTTATCTTTGCTATTTATAAACGACTTAAACCTGATGAACATTTATATATAACATAATAAAAAGTCTGACTGTTCACCTTGTGAACACTGAACATATAGGTGAACTATTACACGGTCACGTTATCAAGTCAATATACACTTACCGTGGTTCAATATACCTGTCCGAGTTTCAGTCAGATAATTAAGGTTTATGCTCAGGTGAATGAAAAAAAAAATACTAGTTATAATGTAATAAAACTGGGTCTATATCGTCTCGGTCATCCCTGTATTTAGATATCCACCTAACCTAACCTAACCTAACCTAACCTAACCTAACCTAACCTAACCTAACCTAACCTAACCTAACCTAAAATTGTTCAGATTGTTTGAGGCTTTTATCTTGACGTTGTATGGATCCACGAGGTAAAACTGCACAAAAATCTTAATGTAAACAGACAGGCAGGTTTAATGGTCGTTATCTCAACTACAGCCTTGTTCTCTGTCGGAAGGGTTTACACACACTAAGATGAATTCTATTAGGACTGTTGTCACAAGGTTAGGTTATCTGACAATGATTCTTATGGATAGGAAGCTTATGGTTCAAAATTTACTACTACAACAGTTTCGCTTGGTGCTCTTAATCACTTGGTTATGATGATTTAACCCCTAAACTACGATGATTTAATGTCTTGATTATGATGACTTAATACTTTGAGTACTATGACTTAACCCCTTGACTACGATGACTTAACCCGTGACTACGATGACTTAATACCTTGAGTACTATGACTTAATCCATGACTATGATGACTTAATCCATTGACTACGATAACTTAATACCTTGAGTACTATGACTTAATCCCTTGACTATGATGACAACTCATAATTATGATGACTGCTCATAATTATGATGACTTAACCCCTTAATTATTTATTATGATTTTGTTATTATTATAATTACATCTCCGCCCTCAATTTAATGTGGGTCAGTGACCTGTGCCCGGGTGAGCTAATCCCTGTAAAAAACCAAACTATGATGACTTAAGCCTCTGAATACAAAGTCATTGTAATAAAAGTTAAAGCATTTAAAATAGTTTAATGTTTTAAAGTGGGTCAGTACCATAAATGAATATCTTTACAATGTACTAATATTTGGTTTCTTCTTTCCAGGTTCCTCCGTCATTGAGTGTCGGGAGGATAGAACAAAACACGATGGTTGGCGGCTTGAACGAGCAGGGTCTACGGTGTTGGTGTGGGCGTGGGTGTCGTGGTTAGCTTCTGTTATCTTACTCTTAGGACAGATCAGGTCAGAGGTCACAGCTACTGGGGTTCAGTCATCTGGTGACCTGATGCTGGGCGGCCTGTTCCCTGTACATGAAAAGGGAGACAAGACGCCGTGTTCGTCCGCTGTGTACGACAGAGGACTTCAGAGGTTAGAGGCGATGCTTTATGCTGTCGATCTCATCAACAGCGACTCTAACCTCCTGCCTAACATCACTCTTGGTGTCCACATCCTCGACACCTGTTCTAAGGACACCTATGCCCTCAACCAATCCCACAAATTCTCGGGTGTCCTTAGATGCGCTGGACACCTCTGGGCTGGAGTGTTCCAGCGGGAAAGCCCCTAGAGTGAAGTACAGAGCCAAGCCCGTGAGGGGTGTAGTGGGGGGCTCCTACAGCTCCGTCAGCCTACAGGTGGCAAATCTGTTCCGTTTGTTCCACATCCCGCAGGTGAGCCCGGCGTCCACTGCCCGGGCGCTCTCTGACAAAGGCCGCTACAGCAGGTTCTTCGCTCGCACGGTGCCCCCAGACACCTTCCAGGCCATGGCCATGATGGACGTAATGCAACTGTTTAACTGGTCCTATATCTCCACCATCCACTCCGAGGGTTCCTATGGAGAGTTCGGTATAGAAGTGATCCACGACCTGGCCATGGAGAGGAACATTTGTATCGCCGTGTCCGAGAAGATCCCTCACAACGCCGACCACTGGGTGTTTGATGACCGTCGGCAACCTGCTGAAGAAGCCGACTGCCAGAGCCGTGGTCCTCTTCACCCGCGCCGAGGATGCAAG